TGGATTCCTAGAACCGAGAACCGGCCCGGGGGTCCAAAAAAACAGTCCGGTCCGGTCCGGTCCACCGGTCCAAATGCTCACCCCTAAGTGTATGGGTCTCGTTGAGACTCGTTGTGGCTGAGGTGGACGCCCAAAACAACGTTGCATCTCGTTGTACACTGCCCCTCCTTCTCGTTGTGTTGCATCTTGTGGGCGTTACAACATATCAAAACGGGAATAAGAACCAATCAAAATCATTTTTCTTCCTCTTTCTCTCTTTCTCTCTTTTTCTTTCTACCTTTTTCTACCTCTTAACAAGTTATAACATTGGAACATCATTTCCTACATGGTATTATGGTGGTGTTAAGGTTGATGTGGCATGTAAGAAGGCGTTATAACACCGGCCCATACCCAATGCTCTAAAGTTTTGATGTTGAATTCCTTGCATGAGACATGATTGATTGATTTTGTTAACCATTGTTACATCCAAAAGACCAGGTCAGCGGGTTAATTTGGCTATTGTGTGGTTCGAGATAGTGGTTTTTTAAAAATAAATAAATTAGCCCTACGGTGAATTATTCGAAATTAAAGAATATGAGATATTTAGATTATTACTATTTGAAAAATTAAATATTCTTATATTTTTCATTCTATTTATCCTCTTATTATTTATTCTCTTTTTTATTTAAAAGGAACTTCCTTAACGAGGGTTTCCGGGCCACCTTTCGCGCACTCATTAATCCCTCGCTGCAAACATGAGACTTTGCCTCATGCCCTGGAGTCACTGCAGGCGAACCTCCATGGCCACAAGGGCTGAGTGGTGCCAGGATTTGAACATGGGTCAATATGTTATCCACCATATATTCTACATGCCTTACCAAGTCACCACAACCCAAATGATTTATTTATTCTCTTATTGATACAAGATTATGACATATGAATACATTAATTTTTTTTCTTAATCTTTTGATTTTGATATTTGTATTAATCTTCTGAGTAGGATGATAAATAAGAATATACACAATCGAACTAAATCTAATTATCTATTAAAAAAAAATTGCAAAAAAGGTGTAACGCCCCGATTACTCAGGTATTATTTAAATAGATTTCTTGGTTTAAGACCTACTCGACGAGTTGGTTGCCCTACTCGTCGAGTAGCAGCGGGTTGAGATCGCAGATTTAGTGACTTACTCGACGAGTCCACTTTGGGACTCGGCGAGTAGGAGCTGGCAGACGAAACCCTAATTCCAGGGGTTTTCACCCCTATTTAAAGAGACCTTAGCCTCCCTTGGACCTCTTTACAGTCTCAAAGAGTCCTAGAGATCCCCTAATCGGGTGTGTGTGCCTTGTATGTGTGTGTGAAGCTTGAAAGGGAGAATCCTTGGAGGGAGAAGTCTTGGAGGAGAAGAAGATTGAAGCATTTAGAGTGTGGGAATCAACACTATCTCGGTTATTATCTTCCAGAGGTACTCAAATCGTCATTCTCCCTATAACCTCTTCTATTGTTTGAGTTTTAGGGTTTTTATGGATTTTGGAGGTTGATAAGTTGAGCTATAGGCTAGATCTGAAGTTGTAACTTCAGATCTGGACCCTCTCTGAGTTCTAGCATCATAAAGTCACAGTCTTGGTCGTGATTGAGGACCCTCTTGGGCATGAAGCCTCATTAAGAGCTTAGAATAGGCATTTAGAGCCTTTAAAGCCATGCATGCACGTAAAGTTTGCAACTTTACGTGATAAGCATGCCCTAAAAGCTTGGATCTGTGATTTGGAGCCGCTGCATGGCTCAAAATAGGTCTGTATGGAAAAAGGACTGAATGGACTCGGCGAGTCGCAAGGTTGACTCGGCGAGTCACATGAAGATAGCCGTATATTCGACGAGTTGGTTGAACAACTCGGCGAGTCCGAGGAAGATTGCCATAAGACTCGACGAGTTGAGGAACAACTCGGCGAGTCGGATGAGTTTACTCCAGGACATGTTTTCGTGTGTATCCGTCGAGTTGCGAGGAGGAAACTCGACGGGTGGCCTTAGAGTGATCGATAATCGAAGGAACTCGACGAGTCACTTAGACGACTCGGCGAGTTGGAAAGTACTTTAAGGAACTCAGCGAGTAGCTGAGGGTGCTCGACGAGTTGAGGTCAACATGGACTGTTGACCTTGACTAAGGACTTTGACTTTGGTCAGGGGTTGACTAGTGGGTTAAGGAGTACCTTATAAGGATAAGGGCTCATGATTATATTGTGCTATGATGATAGGTGGTGGATCCGGTGTCGCGTGATCCGAGAGTCTGAGTACCTTTCGAGTTGACATCTGCGAGGTGAGTTATCCTCACTATATCGATATGGTCTACGGCACCAAGGCCGGCCCTTTAGTTGTTATCTGTATGATGGTATGCTATATGTGATTATGATCTGTTAGATCGGTAACAGGATAAACATCTTTATTATGCTCTTATGTTTCGTAGGGAATGGTATATTAGTGACCTGTTAGGTCGGTGCTCTAGTTATGTGAGTTTACTATGATCGATGATCAGTATGATAGACAGGTTGATACTTGTTTATGCCAGTATATGTTTTATGCGCACATGGTTAATTGTTTGTTGGTTGGGTGGAGGCGGTCCTGCTTTGTGATGAAGGCCAACATACCCTATGAGCGGTCCGAGGAGACTGTAGGCCCACGTGGCGGTCCAGTCATGCCGAAGGCTCGGTAGAGATTCAGTTAGACTATAGGCCCTGTAGGGCGGTCCAGTCAGGCCAATGGCCCAGTATGCATGTTGTTGATTGATCTGTTGTTGATATGGTATCTCAGTGTGGTATTGGTATTTTGGGGGTAGCTCACTAAGCCCTCGGGCTTACAGTTTTCAGTTTATTGTTTCAGGTACTTCAGGAGATCGTGGGAAGGCGAAGGCGTGACCGTACCGCTCCTCATCCTTATGGTCTGTTTTGGGACACTCTGATGGTTCATTATTTGAAAATGTTTTGTAAACAATTATACTTGGGTTCTTTTGGTTGATTTTAAAAGTTTAAATTTTGTGTGAAATTTATGGTTGTTACATAGGCGAAAGCGTTGAGGGCATGATGTATTTGAAAAATAACCTATTTTTCAATACTAAAGCATGATTGTTGTTTATTCTCACACACTTACACACCTTTCGAAACTACCCCTGGAAAACGAAAAATGAAAAAGTTTTCATTTTTCAATACTAAAGCATAATTGTTGGTATAAGTTAGCCTATGGAAACCAGGTCTTACAGTTCATAAATGCTCAATTAGAACTAAACTCAATCTATGGAAAGCATAAAAATAATAGAATATTCCAGTAACTCGAACTTTCCAGCGATCTAAAAAGTATTTTCTACCCATTCCCTTCTAAGTATACTGCTTGGGGACATAGTTTCCAACTATACTTACGGGTCCTTGCGTGTTAACATTAGTCCCGATAAAATTGTCTTAAAAGCCTCTCATGGTAATAGACCGTGAGATGTCCACAATAGAAAAGTCAATGACGAAAATATAAAGAGATAAGCCTAGAAAATAAATTAAAATAAATAAATAAATAAAAATAAAAATAAAAATAAATATTATTAAGTTAATCTGTGACCTTTGGGATTCGAATAAGTAAACCCCGAGGGGTGTACCTAATTGCCTAAAGTCGACTTGTTTGGGACTGATTGGGTTGAAAGTTTGTTACACGGGTTCCATCGAAAGTCATGAACTTAATAATAACAAAAAAAATATGTGATTCAAATAAAGCTACTCCGTGACCTTTGAAGTACGGACAAGTAGACCCGATGGATTCCTTTAAATCTAGCACACTAAGGTCGTCTGGTCTGGATGTGTTGGTTGGAAGTCCGTTACATGGACTTCATAGAAAGTCATGAGCTTTATTTATAAGAAAATATATTTAGATGGTATATATATTTATATTTATGTTAGTCATAGTCTAATTGAATAATGTGCATCATTGTATGTACTCAAGTTAGAAAAAATGTTTAGCTGACAAAAGATTCCTTTGGACTTGGACTTGAACCTATGACATTGGGACTGACTGCTAACTACTTTGACTGGTGTAAGTACTTTGAAATTCGTAACAAATCTAGGTAAATTTTAGGGATTTTTTAGAAAAAAGATTGTTATTGGTCAACAAAATAGTTGGGTTTGGTCATTGATATAATTTGCAAAACAAAATTCGTTGAGCATGTTTTTATGGCATATCTTTTCGACAAAAATAAGGTTGTCTTGTTTCATTTGCTAACTCAATACCGGTGACCGTGAAGAAGTGTTGTTAACTTTTGATTTTGTTGGGTCGTGCTAAGGAGTAATTAAGTCTTAATCTTGTAATGTTTAATCTTATGATAAGAGCAAGTTGGTTCAAGACATGTGGTGTTTTTACATACTCTTAATTGTTTGATATGGATGAGGTTATGATTTGGATCATGTTTTGTTTTCCATGCATAGTTTTGAGAAGTTTAGTTATTAGTTTTATTTTTTTTTCTTCTTTCCGGTTCATTCCCGACTCGTTCTTTCTTGAGGACAATAAAGGTTTAAGTTTGGGGAGATTTTGTTAGGTTCAGTTTTAAACATCATTTTATCATATTTTACACATCATTTCCGCAACATATTGTATATATTTAGCATGCATTTCATACGTTTTATTACATTGTTTGTTTGGGACAATTTTACTCGTTTAAGCTTAATTATTGCAGATTTATGTAAGCGGGTAATGACATCTTCAAGGACCAATAGAAGTCACATGGAAGACCTTGCAACCACATTTGAAGTCTCCTAACAACATCCACGATAAAGAAATAAAATGAAGTGATTTAAAGATTTTTTTGGAAATTTGGTAGCATTGTGTGGTCTTCGTAAAGTGATTGGATCGAGGGGTAAACATGGTCCGGTCGAGCTGAAAGTTTATCGGTGTCTCCCTTACCCATAGATCTTTAATCGAGGGGTAAAAACGGTCTTCGTCAAGAAATTCAGCTTAAACATCTCATCCGCAACATTTGTTTTCCTTATATTCTTCAAATAGTTCCCATTATAATAATTTCCCTTCCAATATATTGTGCTTTCCAAGCCTCAAGCAATGGATCATTCTTATCACATTCACCCAGTGTCTTAAAATCCAAACCCTTATTCGGAAGTCCAAACACAGCTTCAACTGTCTCGTTTGTTATGGGCACTTCACCACTTTTAACCCTTATGGAGCAAGAACTAGTTGTGAAGCTATCTACAACAAAATATGCTAGCTTTCCGGGTAGTGTATCAATCTTCATTCCCAGAAAAGATCCAAAACCCATCTTGCATACCATTTCTCGCTGATTTTTTGACAAACTTTTAATTGCTAGATACAATGAGTTTGGAGACATACGAGTACTCAACCTTTGAAATTCTGTTCCTACCTTCCTTTCTTTACATTTATCCTGAGATCTAATTACCTTTTTCCCTTTCAGCTCAACCTTTTTATCCCTAACTATCTTTTCAACCCTTTTCCTTTTCATTTTGTTCTCATTCTTTCCATAATTCATCTTCTTTTTCCTCTCAACAAAATCATCATCACTGCTGTCATTCTTCTTTGATTTTCCGTTATTAGTATTTTTTGGTAATTCTAGCTTTCGTCCCCCACCAGCTATCCCTTCATTACCTACATTCATCATAACATTGTTTCCTTCAAGTACACGGACACTTGATGAACCTGTACATTGTTATCATCATAATCAATCTTACATTTTTCAAACAAATTATAAAATTAAACTGCACATATTCATAAGTGAATACACATGCATCAAACTAAAAAAAAAATCAACAACTTCAATAGTACCATACTCAACACAATTTTTTACTCATACATTAAACATTCACTCACGCATCCATATCGCTTCAATTTTTATTTTCCAATATCAAAGTATGGGCCAAACAGGAATACAGTTTTCAATATTAACCATATAACATAATTTTTTAATGTGAAGCAACTTAGATTTACCATATAAAATTTAATCATTAATCTATTCCATTTTTCCAAGTTCAATCATACTAATGTTTTCCATATACTCACATATGAATTAAACTTCATAATCCATTGCATTATTTGTTACATCCTTCCTAATCATCACCAAATACGATAATAAAAAAAAAACTCTATCACGTACTCTTAATTCACATTTGAATATAATTCCATTCCAAACAGAATATTGACTCATATAGTACACATTCATACACACAAGCGGAATACCAGTTTTGAATATTACTCAAAGTATTGAACTAAGATGAATACAGTTTTCAATATTAAATATACAAAACATAATTTCTTAATTTGAAGCAACTTAGCTTTACCATATACCATTTAATCATATACCTATTCCATTTCTCCAAGTTCAATCATACTAATGTTTTCCATATACTCACATATGAATTAAACTTCCCTAATGCATAACAAATCTCAACAATTTCACTGTTTATATGCTCAACTGTTTACAACCTTCATAATCTATTGCATTATTTGTTTACATCCTTCATAATCATCACCAAATACGATAATCAAAAACTCTATCTCATACTCTTACTTAACATTTGAATATGAATTCATTACAAACGGAATATTGACTCAAATAATACACACATGCACACACAAAATCTTTCACAGTCAAGACCCTATCAATTAACTACAACTAAATTGAAAAAACAAACCTACTTTCATTAAACAATGACATTCAATACCAAATACTTGTTACTGACGAACTTCGACAATACCGAAAAACAACAAACAAACCCTAATTTCTCACAAAACCCTCGACGAAAAACCCTAAACTCAAACGTTCATAAAAAAATAAAAAAAAATCATAATCTTCATGCTACCTGATTCAATGTACAAGACGTCGACATCATCAAGATCGATATCATTCACAGCTGTATTAGTAAACTTTGATTGAAAACCTAATTCCATCATTCTTGGACTCCTTCTCAAGCTCTGTGATCTCGTCCACCTCATCACGCTTCAAATTTATAACATAAAACGAATAACCAAATCTTTTCGAATTTTTGTTGAAGATTATGTCAAGATCGTTTGACCCATATGGAAATGATCTGGGTAGATTTTTCCGCAAGGGTTTATCGGGAGCCGTTTAATTTCTGATACGATTACCTTTTTTATGAGTACTGGATGTTACATAATGCTCATTAAAGACCTATACATCACTGTTGAATTTTTCCCCATTCATAAATCACGATAGAATACTGATGGGTTTTACACAAAACAACATTCCTATGTGCACATGCAAAACCCTAAAGCTTGGATCTAGGTTTCTCTATTGTACATGCAATTCATCCAAGACTTGAAAACCCTAGATCTAGCATGTATATTTCGAAATTGACTAATAAATCAAATCTAGATGGTTACCTTGCTCAATTGGCTAGAATCTTCAATCCTTGGAGCTTAGTGTCACAATTGTCACACCTCTAATGGCTTACAAACACCAAGGCAAGGAGATGATCTTTAAGAGAGGGGATGAGAGGCACAAAATCGGCTCCTAGTGTAACGCCCCGTTTATTTAAATAAATTAATAAATGTAAGTCCCAGACTAATTTGTGAAGAATTTAGAAGTTGGAGGTTAAAAGTGTAAGTTCCGGATTTAGTTTGTAAATATTTTTGAAGACAGAGGCTGTTTGGAATATGTTGGATTTAAATTGAAAGAGATTTCCAAAGCCAGGGTTAAATGGGTAATGTAACATCCCGTTTAAAATAAAATAATTAAATAATAAACCCGAAATCCGAGTAGTAATTTTTATTGTTATTTTATATTATTTATTGCCCAAAATTAATTAATAATTAGTGGGGTGTTGGTTTCGGAAGGCCAAATGATATAATTTTGATTTCTGAGGGTTAAAATGTAATTTCGAGATTCATGTTGTGAAGTTTTTATGGAGTCAGGGGCTAAAGGTTAAGTTTTGGGTTTGTCTTGAAAAGAATTTCAGAGGGTAGGGTTGAAAAGGTAAATTATGGGCTTTTATTGAAAGAATATTGTGGAGAGGGACTAAAGTTGCTATTATGGCAAACTTTCATATGAAGCGGGTATTTAAGGGTCCTGTAATGTCACACCCCCGAAACCAGACGGCGGAAACGTCCGGGGGCTCGTGTGACTTAAATTGAATACCATCACAATGAATATACATGAATCATAACACAAACATCACCATGCATCAACACATTACAACTGATATTGTTTACATTCAGTACATTGTTTTCCAATATTACACTTCATAACACAAATTGTTTTAGAGTTTCCAACACAAAATAATCTAACATACTTGGTATTACCCTTCTGCTTACCTGAGAATACAAGTTATTTTGGAAAAACGTCAACATATGGAATGTTGGTGAGTTCATAAGCATAGTTGTAAATAAAATGATTTGTAAAGTTTATAAAACCCAGAAAATCCGATATTTTCTGAAAAGACATTTGTTTATCAAAGTGTGAAGATCCATAGTTGATGCATGAATGATTTCAAAACATATATATATGAAAGGTGTTTTGTATTATTGTTATAGAAATTTCGAGCGAGTAGTATTGATTTTCCCGGAAAACCCGACGTTTTCCGATATCGAAAGGTATTAGTAGTTATTAGTTCTTGTATTGTCGTATCGAATGGATATCGTCCTAATTCCGTCTATTTTTAACAATAGTAAGCCTTAGCGAACGAAGAGAAGTGGAGTACTATGTCCTACTACTATCGTAAGTACCTGAGGCTGTCGTGGATGCGAAAGACACGATGGTCTAACTCGCATTTGATTACTGTGACCTTACTAGTTTTTCTAACGGGACACTTTGGCCCACTAGCCCATAAAACTATTGAAAGTCCTTTTATAAAATATTGGGTCATTGAAGGCCCAATAACATATAAGCGTTATCCCTTTGGGCCAAAAGATCATGTTGATGGGCTTGCAAGGCCCAACAAGCGTGATTTGAAACTCATAGGCCCAAAGTTTGTAAGTTTACTTATCGTAGGTATCGCGTATCGTTTGGAGGTTTGACTTAGCGTTTGTTATGTTGTATCGATTCGAGACCGATCGATTTTCGTGTATCACGATATTTGGAGATAATGTGTATTCGTCTTTTGGTTTGTCGGTAGTCGTAGTTTGTATTTTGACTTAATGAAATAGTTTGTCTAAATAGAAGTTTGACCATTTCATTTCCTTTTCTTTATAAAAATAACAATTTAAGTCCTTTAAATAAAAGAATTTCATTTTTAGTCCTTAAAACAATTTCTTGACACTTTTGCATCATAAATTTGTTGAAAAGATGGTTTTAACCCAAAATTTATTTTGTTAACAGATTCAGCCCTTACAGAATAGTATTTCTCGGTTTAAACCCCATTTTTCGCAACTTTTACAGTTTTGGCCCAAAATCCAAAAAGTTTACATTTTTAGTCCCTTTTGGAATTGAAAAGCATTTTTGACCTTTGAAATAGTTTTATGATGCTTCTTATCCCCTGTTTTGCAGAAAGTTTCATTTCAGCCCCTTCAAAACTTCATTTTTCGCAATTATGGGCTTATGGGCCAAAAAGCCCAAAATTAGCCCATTAAGCTAAAAATTTACATTTCAAGTCCTTTGTAAATTCTAATATTCAGAAAAATGATTATAGAAACTGTTTTGACCCTTTTGACCCTCAAGAAACCGTGATTTGACAATTTTTAACCCAAGTTTTGTATTTTGACAATTTAAGCCCTAAAATGAGTTTTATGTTAGAATATGTTCATCATAACCTTGTAAGCTATTATTCTTGACATGTTTAGTGTAAAATTACTTAGATTATGTTTGTTTCCTTTCTCATGTCATAGATCTCGAGTTATCACTCCTTTTGGTTGCATATTCATCACAAAAGCACATAAAATCACACACATACATGCATAAAATCACACATAGCATACACATACACATAGATCTACACATTTTCTTGTATTCTCCCCCATAAAACACATGAAAACCGAAAAGAGAGGGGTATGAAGCTCACCTTGAGTTGTAGTTTCGGTTTTGAAGAGAGAAAAGAAGAAAATTTCGATCCTAGCAAGTCTTCTTGGTAGATCTCGAGTTTAGTGACTTCTAAGGTGCAAGATCACAAGTTGGAATAGGGTTTAGAAGAGATTTTTGATAAAACAAAGAGTCTAAGTCATAGATCCAAGTATGAACTTACCTTAGATGATGAGTTTTGTGGAAAAAATCTCTTTGAAAGCTTCCTAGATCTCGAAATTTTGGAGAGGAGTGTAAGGATGTTCTAGTGAGAGTTTGAGAGAATGGAATGAATTTTTGTGAGTGTGTGTGTGTTGTGTTCGGCCGAGAGAAGAAGAGAGGAGAGAAGAGAGAGTGAGTGAGGTGATGGTTGTATAGAAATATGGGAGTTGCATGGAAAACCACTAGGTAAAAATGAGTTGGCACACACAAAGTAAACTCTTCTTCTTTGTGGGCTTGGGCCGAGAGTGGAGAGGGGAAAAGAGAAGATTTGGGCTTTTTGCCCTTAAGCCCATATTATAGTTAAGTTAGATGATGCTTGGCCCAAATAAAATCAAAGTGAAATTTTTATGACCTATTAGGGCTAAATTATGTTGGTTGTGACCCATTAAGGCCCATAAATATTATGTTTCATGTATATGGGTCCATTTAGGGCCCATTAGAGAGTCCTAGGTTCAAGATGGATAATTTGGAAGTTTATTAGTCCTTTAGGCCCAATAAGGAAATCCTAATCCAAAATGGACTTAAACCGGGATTTCAAAGGTTTCCAATTCTTTGTTGATCTTTTGTAATGCTAGAATGAAGTGTTTGATGAAGTTTTGTTGTTATAGAATAAGCATCATGCATGTTTTCTTGTTATTGATTCATAATTGTTATGAGTGTTGTAGTTACAAGGCCTCAAAATTCCTAGTTGTGACATCATCCCCCCGTTAGAGGGAATTTCGTCCCGAAATTCTTTTGAAAGCTAGATTTGAGAATGCGAGAATAAATGAGGGTACTTCTGCTTCATTTGATCTTCACGTTCCCATGTGAACTCTGGTCTGCGTCTCGCGTTCCATCGAACTTTCACAATTGGAATGCGGCTCTGCTTGGTACGCTTCACCTCTCTGTCCATGATTTCAACTGGTTCTTCGATGAACAGAAGGTTCTCATTGATTTCGATCTCCTCTAAAAGAATGACGAGAGTCTCGTCGGATAAGCACTTCTTCAAGTTGGAAACGTGGAACACAGGGTGTACACTGCTGAGTTCAGCGGGTAGTTGCAGTCTATAAGCCACTGGACCGATTCGGGCAAGAATCTCGAAGGGTCCAATGTATCGAGGGTTCAGCTTGCCCCGCTTCCCAAAACGAATCACTCCTTTCCTAGGGGAGACTTTTAGTAACACCCTATCTCCGACTCTGAATTCCAAGGGCTTTCGTCGTTTATCGGCGTAGCTCTTTTGTCTGTCTCGTGACGATTGCAGTCGTGCTCTGATCTGAATTATCTTCTCGGTCGTCTCGCGTATGATTTCCGGTCCCGTTAAGGCGTTGTTCGGCGTTTGCCCTCTCGCTAGATGGGTGTCTCCTACCTCTGCCCAGCACAACGGTGATCTACATTTATGCCCGTATAATGCTTCGTAAGGAGAAACTTTGATACTCGAGTGATAACTGTTGTTATATGAAAACTCGATCAAAGGTAAGTGGGTATCCCACGATTTTCCAAAGTCTATCACACACGCGCGAAGCATGTCCTCTAGCGTTTGAATGGTTCGCTCACTTTGACCATCCGTTTGTGGGTGGTAGGCAGTGCTCATGTCAAGTTGTGTTCCCATAGCTTTCTGAAGCGATTGCCAAAAGCGTGAAGTAAATCTACTATCTCTATCTGAGATGATAGATACTGGTACTCCGTAGAGTCTCACGATTTCTTTGATGTAGATTCTTCTCAGGCGCTCCATCTTGTACGATTCTTTTATTGGTAGGAAATGGGCGGATTTCGTTAATCTATC